ACCAGATTTTCCTGTTTTATCAACTGTGAAAATAGAGAAACATCTGTTTATACAGCTTGATCAAAAGATGATCTTACATATGATGTTTGATGACATGTTCTTTTTTCGCTTTCATCTCCTTCTATCCTTTCGTTTCTTTTTCTTCGTTTTATTCCTTTTCCTTCCCTTTCCCCCCCTATATTAATACTCCATTTTCTCTTTCTTCTTCTCTTCCTCCATCTTCTACATACGTAGATTCTAAACTCTCCTTCATCACGCAGTCATTAATTATGTACTGTCCTGTACATATATTGCATGCTTTGATCACGCTGTGTTATTGTGTATGTCATCATTTTCTACGCCAATCAATAATGACCAACTTCATTGCTTTTATTAGCACGAAGACGACAAACTCAAATCAGATTTCTCTTGTGTATTGTGTTTTATTTGAGTTTTACTCCTAAGATTTTAGATTACAACGAAATCATTAAGCAGTCAATAGGAAATTATAAAAGTAGACATTTTAGTAATCGGTTATATTAAAAAATAATAATTATATACTGTAATCTTTCTTTATCCTTTACCTTACTATTCATCAGTGAAAACATCTTACTGATAAAGATGAAAATTTACCATGATATAATATTATAATTAATTAATATAAATGAAATTATTAAAATACCTCAATTAATACTAATATTAATCGTGGGATTTTAAGAGGTAATAGTTAGCAAATTAATAAATCTGAGTATCTTAGGGCGTCCATTAATTAGGTGAACAGTTTAAAGGCAGGAAAATCGCAAAAGATATATTATTGTGCTTGAAGGCAGGCGATTTTGTTTACTGGACATTAATTATCGTATTAGTGGCACACAAATTTATCTTTACAAAAGTAGTTAAGTGAATAAGCTATGAGTTAGGAAATATATGCAGAACTTTTAAAGTTATTTCTTCAAAATCAGGGCTCAATAAATAAAAGGGGATTCGCAAAAAGTACACCATCGTTCACTTCAAGAAAAGGATCGAAGTTGACTCAAAAACTGTACACGCACTTAATGGATGGCCCTATAAATACAGTATTTCTTATTATATTAAAGATAATAAAAATAATAATATATTAAACATTTCGAATTAACTTTGCATATTAATTAATGACGTTTAAATACAATATATTTTGATGTAATGATCTAAGATTTTAGAATGAAATGTAAACAAAATATTTTAATTTTTAAAAAACTCAATAGTACAAATTCTTAATAGTAAAAATTTTAGAAATTAAAATGTTTTGTTTACATTTGATTCTAAAATCTTATATCATTACATCACTGACCATACTGATAATTTTCTATAAATAAATGAAATATTTCACCATTGACGGAATCCACGCTGCCATAAACGTAAGTATTATGAAGGCTCCAACAGTTAATACAATCACTAGAATTGCTAATAATTGCAGATATAAATCTTCAAGTTCAAAAATAAGCAAAATCAGAGCAGTAAATAGGAACATTCCAAGTATTAATGTTATAAATTTGCCAAGATTACTTAGCAAGCAAATACTCATTCTTAAAATTTCCTGTATTCGTTCNGAGTGTAGAGGGGGCTTATCTTTCGTTTTCTCTCATTAAAATTGTAAAAAAATTGTAGAAAATATGCTCTAATTTTAATTCACTAGAGAATTGAGTTATCTGAATAGAAGAGAAAACTGCCATTCTGCACGAAGCAGTTAAAAAAAATAGGAAAAAATGCCTAGGAAGAGTGGCCACTTCTTTTATGTTCATAACTTTATCAAACAGACAAGTGTATCGATCTTAATGCTTGCCTATTAATTGGTGACCAAACGTAGTAGATGATTGTATGCTGCTTGCCTCTTAATGTAATAGAAGGTCCCATTCGAGATAAAAATCCAACCCACACGACACGTATTGTATGGGGCCAAACTTAATTAACACTTAGTAAACTGAATAGATGTGCGGGTTTGACTCCCTAAACCCTCCTCTAGAGTCTACTAACATTATTCTGCTTGTTAATTTACTTTTTGTTTGTCTAAGAAAATCATTACTCTTCTTAACCCCCCTTCAAAAAGGAAGAATATAAAAAAATCATTCTTAATTTGTTCAATTTTTATTAAGATGAGTGAATTTTTTACATTAAACTGTGTTTTTATAGCTTTTTTTCAGCTTAATATTACGATAAGAATAACAAAAAGTTACAACAAGAATATTGTATTTTTGAAGTGTTCTTAAGGGTTTTTTTTAGTAAATTTTTAGAGAAACGCAATTACCTTAATGGAATTTGAAACCCCTCCTAAGAGTATATAAATATAATTTTATAATTTTTTGATAAAGAGAAAAATTAGTTAAGTCTTTTGTTGTTTTTTAAATAAAAACCTTAAGAAAGTAGAAATTTTTAAATATTTTTTTCCTTAATAATTGAGAAAAGTAAACTATATTGTGTTGTTTATGTGTGCCATTAAGGCTAATATAATAAGTGATGAAATTATTAATTCTAATTAGGTTTCGCTCGTAAATATTTAAATTATAAAGTGACGAAAGTACTTGTCAGGAGAGAAAAAAAGTGTAATTTTTTTATCTACAAATATTGCTTTTGATTTTTAATATTCAGATATGAAAGGAAACAGTCACTGAAAATTGCCATTTCTGAACTTCAGAATTCTGTTGCAAGAACAGAAATGATCTTGTAAAAAATTCTTGTTTATAGGTTTAGGATTTTTCATCACCGCAAAAACTGATTTTATCTAATATTAACAATCTTAATAATAATCTTATAAACAAATTAAACATTAAAATCGTGAATCTTGAAACTGTTTGGCTTTGGTTGGCAAAGATGTGTATTGTCATTCCATTGACTGTTGCTTGGACTCAGAAGTCATGTGAGACACCCAAGTCTCATCTCCTGTAACAATGTGGTCAAACAATTCATCTCCTTCCTGATCAAATTGAGTCAAAAACAATAAAGCACTGCCCAATCTTTTTGTTTTGTGGTCGTCAGAAAGCAGTCTTGGAACCTACCAATTGGAGAACACAATTTTCGATAATTCAGTTTCTCCAAAACAATGGTATGCAAAAACTGATCTGAAACCTGTGGAAATTCAATTGATAACATTGAAATCGTGAATTGTCTGTTCTCTCGAACTTTGTTATCCATATCACAAACCAAATCTTCACAAATCAGAGAAGTCAGCCAGGGCGTGGCTCTTCACGCGCATTAACCCGCCTGTCCTTCATGCACATTAACATTCTCACCCACTTCCGAACTTCACTGTCAATCATAGCATTATCACCCTAAACTTCACAAATCTGACAGTGAATTTCCACTGCTGCCAAGGTTCTTGCACTCAAGAATCAAATAACAGATCGTATCTCAGTCTGTGGGTGACTCAATTTTCTTAAACATTATAAACTTTTACAGTTTTCATGTTAATTTTAAAGTTTTAATTTACTTTATGTTAGAATTATTGGAATGTTACATTTATATTCAAATATTCAAAATTTATTGTTCTAATATTCTACATTTATTGTATTCTATTTTGGAACACTTTGTAATTAGGTGTTTCAAAACCAGTAACCTGAGGATGGCCTATGCATTAGACTGTAAACATTAGTGTAGTGTATGAGCAAATAACTGTCTCAGCAGTCAAAAGTGTTTAGTGATGATTTTAGTAAGTTTTCATATAATTTAACAAAGGGGGAGGAAAGTCTTTGCATTGGATAGGAGACTAAAAGAAACCAATTTTAACTCACCAATCAGATTAATGTCTGAACAACTGACAAAAAACTGACAAAGACAATAAACTTAAAGAATAGTTTTTATGGGAGTAAACAATTAAGTTTGACTTTTGAATAATAACCTTTGGTTATTTACAAAATACACATACAGATTTAGTTTTAAGTTTTGTAGTATTTTTAATATTTATCTGTATATATATTAAAAGCAAAATGTTCAGTTACTTCCNAAATTTAATATTCTATATTAATTGCATTTTATTTTGGAACAGTTTCTAACTGGTGTTCCAAAATCAGTCATCTAAAGATGGCCTATGCATTAGGCTGAAAACGTTAATGTATAAGTAAATATATGTCTTAGCAGCTGAAAGGTGTTTAGTGATTATTTTTTAGCAGTTATTATTTCTGCTGGGTGTCGGTTTGATTGTTAATGTTGTTATTTCCTAAATTTTTATTTTAGTTGATTCTCCAGTTTCTTTATTCAAAACTCTTAAAAGATTCTAATAAACACAAAAATTTACACCTTACTCTCAACCTCCAGAATTCACTGTTTAAAAATGAATGTTTTTGGTAGCCTGTATCAGGTTAAATAGATTCAGTTTTTAAGATAGCTCCAGCTTTAGGATTTAATAAGATTTTCATACTTCAAAGTTTTTGCATATTTTATTTATTAATACTTTAATTTTGATACAATGAATTTTTTCCTGAATTAAAATGTATTGTTGAATTAATTTTTGAATGGAGTTGATTTTGACTGCATTTCTATTATAACAAAAGATAAATTTTAAACATGAAACCAATGAAATAAAAATTGCAAATGATTGTATCTGGACAAAATATGATGATTGCAAAATATTGCATAACCTTAGTTAGATACTAATTCTAATAAGCTAAGTAGCATAAGAAAATTTTAATATAAAATTTTCAGTAGATGAATTTATGATAAATTAGAAAGTAGTGCGATTTAATGAACCATCAGTTTACTAAATCCCTGGTATCCTGATTTGAATACTCCTTGTCAAAATGAGATGATCTTTAATAACTATGATTTGTGAGAGTAAACTATGAATGTTTTATTTTATTAATTAATTTGAAATTTTTTGTGACTGGATTGTAATGTATGAAGTTGTGTTTCCATATTAATTATGCACAAAATTTAAAATATTTAATTAAGAAAAGATGTAAGATTCATTTGAGTGTAATTTTGTTGTAATATAATATAATGTTGACAGTTTTGAACATTTAATAAGTCTAATTGAGGCTTAATATTTACAGGTGATCCTGCTTCACAGTCTACTCCAATAAAATGGAAAGATGGAATGGACTTGACTAAGCGCCACAAGGAAAGGCAAGCACAAATGAAAAATAGCAGAAAACGTGGGCATGAACAGCCAAGGACGTTTTTTGCTTGGTTTACTGATCATGGAGATGCTTCAGCAGATGATATTGCAGAGGTATGATTTCAGTTGTTTTAAATAGGTACTGGAATTTTGCCATAACACTGTCTTAATAATTTAATTTTATAGGTCATAAAAGATGATATGTGGCCAAATCCACTGCAGTATTTTCTTGTACCTGATATTGAGGTAGAAAATGGACTTGAAGGTGATGAAGATGACAGGTAAGAGTTAAAAATTTTATTATGGTATTTTCTTGCAAATATCGGTTTGTAATTCTAAACAATATTTATGAAAATAATGCTGTATTTTGATGTATTAATACATGGTTGAATACGATGGCATTATGTATGCTAGATAGAACAATTGTTCTCTGATGATTAATAAGATACAGTGATACCTCGACTTACGCGAACCCGGAGTTACGCGATTTTTAAATCTCGTCGATTCATCTTTTGTTTGAGCACCAGGCAACTCTTGATTACTCATTCCCTCCACACTATTGTTCAACTTACATGTTTGGACGTGTCACGCGGAATCGACACATATCTACAATTTATTTTGTGTTATTTATATCTGTGTTTGTTATATCTAGGGAGACTCGAGAGACTCTATGTGGTTTGATTTCTTGTAACAATGAACAAATCAAAAGATGAGATAAGATTAACGAGAACATTTATTAGCTTACATACATCTGACTTGGATTTTACACACAGAGAAATTATACCCCGACTTACGCGGTTATCACTCGGTCCCACCTATCACGTAAGCTCAGGGTATTACTGTATATGTTGGCTCTCATTACTATATCATTTGAGAAGTTTTCTTAATTTATCTGACAATACAAACTAAATAATAAATTTCTCAGCAAAATCAGCTAGACAGCATGCGTAACATGTTGACTACCAAATATGAATTATCTTGTAGTTTGCAATCAAACGAGTGCCATCTATGACATAACTCATATAATGTTGTCTCATGTTTTGCCAAATATGACTCTTTCCATAGCAACTAGTTAATATAACTGATCAGTGAATGTTGGGAATGAGAATGACAATTTATTGGGCATTATAGAACAAACTATAAAAAAGTTAAAATGTGCTAAGAGTTTCTTCTTTTGATTGCTATATACAAATATTTTCATAGTAAATATACTACCAAAGTGGCTAGTTTGTGTCTGAATACAAATGACAAATTAATTTGGTATCATAAAAGAAAGTTTATTGAAAAAAACATTAAACAATTAAACAACATATTTATTATCTTTTAGTTGGTGTTTGCAAAAGAAAAGTTACTTCACACGTTTACTATAAGATAATTCACATTGATATTTTTTTGCTAAATATTAAATATTACTTTTATAATTATATTTAAAAAAATTTAAAACAGCAAATAAGCATTGCATAATCAAAATAGCAACTAGGACATGTTTATGCAAAATGCTTGTGGCTGTCAATATGTTAACGAAAAGGCCATGGCATTAAGCATTATTTACATTGGATGTGAAGGATATGAACTATAACAAGGGGAAGAGAGCTAATGACAAAGTGTATATAATCTCACAAAGCAAGTTAAATAAATTAAAAGTGGGCATATGCAACAGCTATGGCATATTGGCAAGTGTGAGTCAATGAAAGCAACGTTTTCATTTCAACTAGAGTTTTCAACTTAAAGTAGAAAAAAAAAGGCACTCAATAATTAAAAAGATCTATATTGAAAATAATACTGGTATATAATTTAATTTCAATAAGCTTACAAAACAGTAAACAAAATGAACATTAACGTGGGTAACTGCAATATAGATTGAATTTTAGTCAATTTTAGTAATTGTTTAAGATTGTTAACTTATGATATTTTTTCCTGTCTTAATAAATTTTTTACACAGTCAGCTCTCACTAATACAAACTACTAGGGGAACAGTAGTTAGTTCACTGTATCAAAAATTCATATTAACAATTTCAGGGTCAGTGTCAAGGTTGTATAATTTATAGAGTTACGGATTAATAAACAATCAAAATCTATAAATTATAACACAGTTTAACCCGATTATAACATCATCTATGGGACTGGTAATTTTTTGATGTTATAACCAAGTGTTGTTATCTACAGGGTCATAATTTCAGTCCCATAAAAAGTATCAAGTGTGTTCAAAATGTTAATTTGCCACCTGTAATATGATATGTTGTTCACATTCACACCAAAATGAAAAAATTGGGTATTTGATATTTTATTATAATTTTAAATAAAAGGATTGTTATATAACAATCCTTTAGAATTGTTCTACAACTGTTAACATGAAAGTAATTATGAGAATATTTAATAATTGTAATTAGTAGTTATACATTTATAATTACTCTCAGAATATATGGTAATTATAATGATCTTTTAATTCAAAAAATTTCTTTGTTTTGTCTAATAAGATTGTTATATTAGTAGAGTGAAATTAAGTAAAAATATATGAACAACTACTGGCCATCCTATGGCCTTGAGAGAAATAGCATTAACTAGAGGCGGTATACCAAGCTGTTGTATTTACAATTATGTGTTAAGTACTTTACAATCTGCTATAATTACACATGCTTATCTAATTACATGTTTTCATAGCATGCATTGTTTACTGCCTCTGGTAATAAAAAAGAGAGCAATTTAAATTATTAAAATTAAATCAGTTGAAACACATTATTTTGGAAAGTTTGGATGAAGTACTTGTCCGTCTTGATTGATTTGGTTATATTTTATCCAGGCAGTCAGAGTTGACTCTTCTATTTATAGCACATCATTGTAAAGTGTTCGTGGTGAAGGAACATTTTGCTTTTGTATACTACATATCGTATTATAGTATATTACAAAACAATAATAAATAAATATATAGAATATGTATATATTTTTTTATATTATATAGACAAGGGTACAAAGCATACAGTAACGTTAGTGTGTTCTGTTTCAAACCAACCAAGAGTAAGAATAGTCAGGAAAAATTGAAATGGCATGTTAAACAATCCATAAAAGTCAAATTTGTACAGTTTTGAATGCAAAGATATGTTCAGGGAATTGAAAAAACAGGGAAAAATTCCATTGTCTGATAAGTCAGCAGATTCGATAACATGGCATTGCATTGGTCTCGACGATTTTGTTACTTATATGATATGAAAACTTTAATAGAGTACACTCTTGCAAATCCAAAATAATTATTGTATGGAGTTGTTCAGATTAAGGGGGTGTATATATATATATATATATAAAAAAAAGGAAATCAAATAGGACTACAGACAGTATTAAAATTTTTAAATATATTTAATACATATATTTATTAACCCTTTTTCAATTATTTGCCGATATATTGTCAAGTAGTTAATTAATGAAACAAATCACTTGACTATTTATCTTCAATCTGAGAATTTACAATTCTTATAAAACATTCCATTCATAGATGGCACTACACTACTGTAGGTTATTCTGTACACTTGTTTCACATATATAATACCAAATGGCATTTTATTTTAAGTATTTATACATTTTTTGATGCAAGAAATTTCTTTGTGTAAAAAAACTGTTTGAGTTTGTTTTAATCAAAATGTACAGCACAAAATGGCCGTTCATGCAGGGTTACTCACAGAAATGAACTATATAATCAAAAAATTTTATCTATGATCGAGTTGTGTAAATTATAAATAATATTCAAACTGTCGTTTTTGACATTTTTTATGCTAGGGAAAAAACTTTACTACTGTAAACAATGAAAAGTAATGTATGTACATGAATTTTTTCGTATGTGTATGATAACTGTTGGATTTTTGGCAAATTTTTGAATAATATAAGTTGAATGATTTTGAGTGAGTAAAGTTTGCAGTGACAATTTTCAAACAATGAACATGAAAATGTCATCAGTTTAAAAGGGTTAAAATGGATAGTACATGTTAATTTTACAAATTTGTTATATATTTCAAAAGGTCAAACTAAACTTGTTTGAATTAGTGATAGTGCACTGTAGTTAAAGGATTGGGTTTAAATATGATACCCTTTTTTTCAGACCTAAGATCAGTATGTTTTATCTATACTTGCTGAATGAAATTGTAAAGTTTTATATTTTATTTGCCATCTTAATTTATACTGCAGTACCAGTTAAGATGGCATATGATTAGAGAGGTTGCGGTCAAAGTTTTCATCTCTGAAATGTTAACGTCAAACATTGAGCGCTGCCATCTTGTAAGCTTAGAAGTTTGACAATGGCATTTGGAATGTTGAGTATGACTCCAATGATGTTTCAAATGCCATTGTCAAACTTCTAAGCTTACAAGATGGCAGTGCTCAATGTTTGACGTTCACATTTTAGAGATGAAAACTTTGGCTGCAATCTCTCTATTATGTAGTAATATCATATTATTATAATCTTCTGGAATTAGTTTTCTCAAATCCTTAAAAAATTAAATTTTCTATAAAAGGTGTACATGCCTTTTAGGAAATACAGAAAATATCTGATAATCTGGTAGTGTATAAAATTTAATTTCTGCAGATTACATAGTAATAGCTCAAGAAATTTGAAACAACGAATTGTATATGGTAACTTATCTGACTTGACAAAAAAATAAATAGCAAACATGTTAATATAGAAGAGCGGACAATTTCTAAAAGAATCGCCATGTAAGCAAACTTGAAAGTTTTAGTATTGATCTTAAAACTGTTTGTGAAGACAATGCACTAAAGGTGTTATGTAATCAGCGTTTGGTCAACAGGCAAACAATTCTACTNACCTACATAAATAACAATCTATTCATTCTTCAGAAGAAGAAGAAGAAGTCTATGAGGAAGGTGAAGAAGAAGGAGAAGGTGAAGAGGATTTAGATGAAGCAGGTGAATAAGTGTTATGTAGTCTCAACAAATAAATGGCAGTTTTGCTCAATTATTTGAGTGGCATCTACAATGCTTCATGTGTGTTAAAATTAGCATCGTTATTACAGACTATACAAAGGGGAAAATTCACAATATTTCTTTCAAATTATCATTCTTACATAATAAATCATTGCATTTCCAGGTGGAGAACTGGAGGGTGAGGGAGCAGAAGCTGAAGGTGAGGGAGAAGGGGATGAATGAATTTATCATCAAATGCTGTAGTTGCACCAGACACCACAAACATCTTACCACTCAAAACAAAAATCGAGTCGGTTTCATCAGTATCTACAGATGTTTCATCTGTTGACTGCCATTGGAAATATCATCCCCAGCT